ATTAATGTAAATATTACAGCTTCTAAAATGAAAATGTGTTCACCCAACATCTTATTCTCGTTTTTTTACGGCTTATCAACCTTTTGCAGGTCATTCAAAGCTAAAAAAACATTTTTAGCTTTTAAGAATTATTTGGAGATAATGATTTTTACAGATAAAATTTCTACTAATTAACTCATATGTGGGGAGTGAAAAATATTTTGATTGATACCCTTTTCTTTTTGAGATATAACGAATGTAAACCAGTGTTTCAACGTGATGTGGCCGTAAACCTGAAAAAGAAGAGATGCGATGGCGTACTGGAAGAAGAAGAAGAAGAAGAAGAAGAAGAAGAAGAAGAAGAAGGAAGGAGAAAAAAGGAGGACGAAGGAGGAAGAAGAAAAAGACAGGGGAGAGAGGAAGAGGAAGAGGATGAAGACGAAGGAGGACGAGAAAGAAGAGAGAAGAAAAAAGAGCAGGAGTCAGAAGTAGTAGTAGGAGAAGAAAGAGGAAGAAGAAAAAAGAGGAGGACGACGAAGAAAAAGAGGAGGAGGAGGAGGAGAAGAAGAAGAAAAAGGAGGAGGAAGAAAAGGAGGAAGAAGAAAAAGACAGAGGAGAAGGGGAGGAAGGAAGGGGAGAAAGGAAGGAAGGAAGGAGAGGAAGGAAGGGGATGAAGACGAAGGAGTAGGAGAAAGAAGAACGAAGGAAAAAGAGCAGGAGTTAGAAGTAGTAGTAGGAGAAGAAGGAGGAAGAAGAAAAAAGAGGAGGAGTCAAAAACAGGATGAGGAAGAAGAAAAAGAGGAGGAGGCGGAGGAGGAGAAGAAGAAGAAGGGGGAGAAGAAGAAAAAAGGACGAGAAGGAAGAGAAAAAGGAAGAAGAAAAAAGAGAAGGAAAAAAGAGGAGGAAGAAGAAGAAAAAGAGGAAGAGGCAGAGGAGGAGAAGAAGAAGGGGAGAAGAAGAAAAAGGAGGAGGAGGAGAAAGAGAAAGAGGAAGAAGAAAAAGAGAGGAGAATGGAGAGAAGGAAGAGGCTGAAGTCGAAAGAGGAGGAGAAAGATGAAAGAAGAAAAAGAGCAGGAGGCAGAAGAAGTAGAAGAAGAAGGTGGAAGAAGAAAGGAGGAGGAAGCAGAAGAAAAAAGAAGAGGAAGAAGAAAAAAGAAAAAGAAGAAGGGAGGAGAAGGAGAAAAAAGGAGGAAGAAGAAAGAGATTTGAGAATGCGGAGAAGTAATAGGATGAAAACGAAGGAGGAGGAGAAAGAAGAAAGAAGAAAAATGAGCAGGAGCCAGAAGAAGTAGGAGGAGAAGAAAGAATAATAATAATAATAATAATAAACCACAACCAAAAACGGTGCCTCCTTATTGATATGGCAGTCCCTGCTGACTGCAATGTATCTTTGAAGATATTCAAAAAGTTGTCAAAGTACAAGGACCTTGAAACAGAAATCTCGAAAATGTGGCATATGGGAACATCAGCAATCCCTGTTGTAGTTGGAGCCCTAGGACTGTTTGGAAAAGATTCCATTAGACTAATTGAAGGGATTCCTGGAAGTCCATGCCTCAAGGAGATACAAAAAATTGTTCTGACAAGTACAGCCCACACCTTACGAAGGGCTTTATCTATGTAATTTAATTTTTTTTTTTTTTGTCAGTGGAAAGTGTCATGGCGCCATTTCTAACCTTAGGTCCCTGGGCGGGACCCGGAAAGAAATGTGTAAACGCCAGAAATAAAAAAAAAATAATAATAATAATAATAATAATAATAATAATAATAATAATAATAATAGCACCACATCGTGTCAGGACTTTGTTGGCAGAAAATGGATATTTTTCCTGAATATCAATCCCAGTCCACACTGAGAGAAATAAACAGAAATGAAGATTTGAATTAAGCAGATGAATTAAGCACTGTGGTAATGGACGACTCGGAATGGAAACGATAGAACAACCTGGAAAGAATGGTAGAAGAAAGGCAACACATCGTCTCTTTCTCTTTCTTTCTCATCTTTATTTTTACTTTTATCTTTACGCTATACGCCATCTTATATCTCTCTCTCATCCATTGCATTTTCAATTTTTCCTCTCCTTGCTCCGATTTGGGTTTGTTGCTGTTCTTGTTTTTGCTGTTGCCTCTCTTCTGCGTTTTATACGCCATCTTATCCAACTATATCTTCTTCCTCCTCCTCTTCCCCTTCCTCCTACTCCTTTTCTTCTGTGTTCTATACGCCATCTCATACGATTACATCTTCTTGCTCATTTTTCTTTTTCTTTTGTGTTCTATAAGCAATCTTACCAAAATCTAACTTCTTTTCCTTCATCAACATCATTCTTTCTGCTCATTGGTTTTATTTTTTATTTTTTCTTCTGCGTCATCTTATCCTAATATATTTTCTTCGTTCTCCTCTTCTTCCTATTCATCTTATTACATCTTCTTCTTACTTCTCCTTTTTCTTCCTATTCATCCTTCTTCTTTCTTCTATACATCATCTTACCCTATTATCAATTCTTCTTCTTCTTCTTCTTCTTCTTCTTCTTCTTCTTCCTCCTCCTCCTCCTCTTCCTTCTTCCTATTCATCCTTTTTCTTTCTTCTATACGCCATCTTACCCTAATATTTCTTCTTCTTCTTCTTACTCCTCCTCCTCTTCCTTCTTCCTTTTCATCCTTCCTCTTCTTTCTTCTATACGCCATCTTATCCTATTATATATTTTTACTCGCCCTCCTTTTTCTCCTATGTTCTATATCTCATCTCACTGTATCATTTCTTCTTCTTCTTTTTACTCCTCCTTCTCCTCCTTCCTATTGATTCTTCCTTCTTCTATACGCTATCTAACCCTATTATATCTCCTTCTTTTTCTTCTCCTCCTTCTTTTTCTGATTCTTCTTCTTTTCGTATCTTTTCCGATAACTTTTATCATGAGAGCAAGGCACTCTCCAACCTTCAAGGTGCGAGACGGATCATGGGAACGGGTCACTTACCTGAATTAGGCGCGAAAATTTACCAGCCATATGTGTGAGAAAGAAAGAAAGAAAGAAAGAAAGAAAGAAAGAAAGAAAGAAAGAAAGAAAGAGACAGAGATACACAGGGAAACGGAAAATGAAAAAAAAAAAGAAGGAAAAGGAGAGAACCAAAATTTGTGTGCTTTCCTGTATGTGGATGCGGTTAAATGTGAGTGTACACGTAACTTCGTGTCAACGGGTCAAAGGTTAAAAGCTTATCTTTGTGCAGTTATGTTAGTTAGTTAACACAGGACTTGTCTTCCGGCTGGAATAGTCGATATTGAAACCCGCGACTAGTGGTTCAGGGTCAATCCTAGCTAAAAACATGAAGTTCGGCAGCATTTTCTTATGTTGAAGCAAACAGATCAGTTGAAAGTCCGACGTAAGACAATATTTTAGCTTCATCTCTCCCCGTAATCTGGTGCAATAAAATGCCCAACTTAAAAGATCTTATCTTCATAAAATTTCTGTTTGATTACTACAATCATAGATAAAAATAAAAAGTGTATTGATGCTCACACAGCAACTCTCTGCTTCTTCAATCATCATGACATGCCAATAACGGGTTTATGTCTGGTAAGGGGGGGATTCTGTATGAAATGGATTAACGCTTTTTCAAATATCATGAGAGCAAATATAAAACAACCATATAAGATTTTTATTCCCAGGACCGGTTTCATTCAACGGACTAATATAATGGTTTCGCTGATAGAGTTTGTTTGAATTTACGAACAATTTTTCCAATTACTCTCTGGGGGTGGCTTCAAACTTTTGTTTGGCCGAGTGGTTAGAACGTTCACTTCATGACTATAAGATCCGTGTTCGAATCTCACCATAGCCGATTAGTCATGAAGGACACTCTCTGATGTTATCGGTCAGGAGGGGCCGATTCCAGCGTGCGGCAACTTTGGAAAGTGCCTGAAAACCATACCACAGGTTGACCTAAACGTTGTGAGCGAAATGTGGGTATATATATATATATATATATGGTATCAAATGACAATTGGAAAAAATCATACATTTTGCCGACGCGTTTCGTCTTCCGACTTTTCAAGGCAAAAATGAAATCGAAATGTTTTTGTTGTTATAGTTACATTAAAATTCAAAATTAAAAAGATAGACGCTTTTTCGATTTGATTTTTGCCTTGAAAAAAGTCGGAAGGCGAAACGCGTCGGCAAAATGTATGATTTTTCAATTGTCATTTTGATACCAATCTGTCTTGTCAGAATTCATCTTGAATTTAACTATATATATATATATATATATATATATATATATATATATATATATATATATATATATATATATAAGTATATATATGATTGGTGTATACGGAATGAATTCAATAACCAACAATTACTATTCTTAAAAAGTGATCAATACAGAGTAGAGCAGATATAATTATTTATTTAAAAATTATAACATAAATGTTATAAAATCACTACAAAAATAGCCATTTTATTTCAACACCTCCAGTGTCTTATCAAGTGATGATGTTGAATGTAAAAAAAAAAAATTGATGTTGAATGTAGAAAAAAAAATTTGATTTTGAATGTAAAAAAATGTAAAAATTTTGATGTTGAATGCAAAATTTTTTTGATGTTGAATGTAAAAAAAAATTTGATGTTGAATTTAAAAAAAAAATTACATTTAACATCATCACTTGATAAGACACCGGAGGTGTGGAAACAAAATGGCTATTTTTGTAGTGATTTTATAACATATATTATAATTTTTAGATAAATAATTATATATATATATATATATATATATATATATATATACAAGTAAAATTTCAGATAGTGTATCTCTGTTAAAGGACAATAGGAAAAAAGGCAAAAGCAGAACTTATCTTAGCCGACGGGTTTCGAGGCAAATGTAAGGATTTTATTTTGTGACAAGTATTGATATACAAGAGCAACAGTTTTATTGGTTTTTCAAATGTTGTTGATATAGGGGTTGCTCATCAATATTCATGAGGCCAGCAGAAAAAATCAGGGAATATCATGGACTTGATAGAGAGCAATGCCTAATAAACAAAAGTGGGTAGAGAGAGGGAGAGAGAGGGGGAGGGAGAGAGGGGGAGAGAGGGGAGAGAGGGGGGGGAGAGGGGGGGAGAGAGGGGGATAGAGGGGGGAGAGAGGGAAAGAGAGAGGGGAGAGGAGAGAGGGGGAGAGAGGGGGGAGAGGGGGAGAGAGAGGAGGAGAGGGGGGAGAGAGAGGGGGGAGAGAGGAGGGAGGGGGAGAGGGGAGAGAGAGGGGAGAGAGGAGAGAGGGAGAGAGAGAGGGGTGAGAGGGGGGTGGAGGAGAGAGAGGGGAGGGGAGAGGGGGGAGAGAGGGGGAGAGGGGAGAGAGGGGAGAGGGGAGAGGGGGAGAGAGAGGGGGAGGGGAGGGGGGAGAGAGAGAGAGGGGAGAGAGATTTGACCTGATCTAATCTTATTCCTCTAATCTGTAAATTTTTCTTGATTTCGATTCTCATTTGACCACCATAGAGAAACTAAGCATTGATGACCGATTTAGTGAGAGAGTTTCCCTAAAACCTTCTGGGTCTCATGTATGACGTGGAACATCTACATTGAATCAATTCCTACATCTACAGCAAGGAAAGTTGTTTCACTGTGAAAAGGAAAGAGGAGAGAGGGGGAATTTTGGAGAAATAGAAAAGGAAAGTAAGAAAAGGAAGAAGAAAGATGGAGGTTAGAAAGAAAGGAGTGCGTGAAAAGTGAAAAGAGCGAGAATAATTTAAGAGAAATAGATAAGAAAAGCAAGAAAAAAAAAGAGAAAGGTGGCAGTTGGAAAGAAAGGAGAGTAAGAAAAGGGAGAGAGGGAAATTTGGGATAAATAGAAAAGAAAGAAAAGGAAGAGAGAGGTAGAGGCTGGAGAGAGAGGAGTGTAGGAAAAGTGAAGAAAAAAGAGGAGAAACTTGGAGAAATAGAAAAGGAAAGTAAGCAAAAGTAAAAGAGAGATGGAAATTGAAGAGAAAGGCGAGTAGGAAAATTGAAGTGGCAGGAGGGGAATTTTAAAGAAATAGAAAAGGAAAGTAAGAAAAGGAAGAAGATAGAGAGAGGTGTGGCGTACTCTTTCTCTCCAAGAGTATGAAGAGAGAAGAGGAAAGAGGAAGGTTTTTCTCGTCTGAGTCCATCATACACATCTACAAATCTACCATTTGTCCATGCATTGAATGCCGTTGCCATATATGGTCTGGTGACGCTGCTGTGAGTCAGTTGTTCACTTCTGAACCGACTGATCGGTTGAACTCTCTTCCTACGGACGGAAGGAACCCGAAGGAGCCTCCGCCGAAGGGCGGAATCTCCTTCGGGGAGGTAAACCGACCCTGAACCCGTTTATACGGGTTAAATGAGCATATTTTTGGTTCGGAATGCCCACGTTAAGAAGGCCTTGTGCCACATGACACTCTCGTGGGGTGGGGTGACTCAATATCGTGACGCTGCTGTTCATCTCGAGGTCCTCGACAAAATCCAAAAGGGATCTGCATTGTAGTTGGTCGTGACCTGGCATCTCGACTCCAGTCATTTTTTCACAGACGTGATCTGGCTTCCCTCTGTCTTTTCTACAAATATTTTCATGGCTACTGCTCTGACGAGCTGTTTTTTCCCTGCTGCCTCGACGGCATGAATTTAAGCGTGCTACTAGGTTGGCATCTCGGTCCCACTCTTTTACTCTTGAAACAGTTAAATATAACCGCCACTTCTACTCCAACATCACCTCCCGCACTTCCCGCCAGTGGAACATCCTTCCCCTTACTTGCTTCTCTGACAACTACAATCTTCAAAAATTTAAATGTAACGTTAATCGACATCTTCTGACGCTGTTGGTCTTTTTATCATTTTTTTTTCAACCCCCCGCACTTGAACCCAGCCTTTTTTCTTACTTTCATTCTGTGTAAGCCCCTGCGTAATAGTTCCACTCCCGCCTTGTTTGGGGGGAAATGCTTAAAAAAAAAGAAAAAAAAAAGTTCTGCACTTGTAGTTTCACGCTACAGGAAGCGAAATTTACCAGAGAATTATCCGTCCACATTATGCTGACTTCGACAGGCGAAAGGGCAAGAACTTATCTCTCAGCGCAAGTGAAAATTCCTAAGATAGATGCACATGCAGGAAGTCAGTGGTGAACTTGTGCGGTGTACTGATTTCTCCCCATCCTGAAAGAGCTCAACATCATGTAAAGGGTTAAGAGATTGAATAGTGAAACGCTGCATCGTGATGATCCATATTTGTCTCCATTGTTTTTTCGTAACTTGTCTGAATATTATACATGACGCGGCGCCATTTTTTTTATTTTAAATTTTTGATGAGATTTATTTAATAATCTTTTTTTCTACCTATTACATCCGCTAATAATCTTTCAAAAAAAAAAAAAAAAAAAAAAATCCAGAGTATTTCATCAGAAACAAAGTTCTACAGCAGGATGATGAGAATCCCATGAACTGAACATTAGAAAAATTTCATTAGAAACAGAAGAGAAGATTGCCTTTAGTGTGAGAATTCAGCGAGAACAAATAATAAATACGAAATCAGAATGTCGTAAGCCAGGAGATTAATAGATGTGATTCAAAATGTCATCCCCACTGGAAGGAGATCTTAAATCTCCACTTCTGAACGTCTTGACAAATACAAGGATTAAATTTGAGAGGGCGTGGTTTTGACGACGAATTAACTCCTATATTCCCAGCTCATACAATGAATAATAATAATAATAATAATAATAATAATAATAATAAATGCTATATCAAAAACAATGAATTTAATACGGCAGCAAGAGAAATGATAAAATAGATTTAATTAAATTTAAGTTTAAACAGATGAGATTTTAACATAACAATAAATAAATGGAATAAACACAGAGAGAATCTATACGGGGATAACATGCGATTAAATAGTCTGATCAGATTACACCTGCATTTTTTAAAAATCTATTTTTATATTTTCCATTTTTTTTTAAACCGGGGGATTAACAAGAGAGATTAGATGAAAATTATGCAGTCAGAGGAAACCCTGTACAGATTAAAGCAAGTTATTTTTCTATACAAAATTATGTAAATAAATAAATAAACAACAATTCTTTAACATAATAATTTTTTAGGCGTGACTTAGATGTGGCACAAGGTCGACAGTATAAAGCACCCAGTGAGGATCAAAATTACTAATCAGTCGTAACTGTTCTAGCGAGACAAGGTCGCTAACCATTACACTGCGTCAAGGTGTCCATAGCTATGTTCTAAGCGTAGCTATATGTGGCACAAGGCCGAAAGTATGGGGCACCCAGTGAGGATCGAACTCACTAATCAGTCGTAATTGATCTCACAAGAGAAGCTTGCTAACCATTACGACAAAAGTAATTTTCTAAGCTGAGTTTAGATGTGGCACAAAGTATGGGGCACCCAGTGAGGATCTAAAACACTTCTTAGGCGTAATTTTTTTTTTTGCAAGACAAGTTTGCTAACCATTAAACCACACCGAGGTGTTCATCCATTATTTAAAATGTAACGAAAAAAGATTTAATATATTTATCGGTTCAGCAGCCTGACTTCCTCGACTTCTTATAATAATAATAATCACCTATTATGGTAGCAAGAAACATTACTTCATGCTAGTAACTGTACATGCCCCGTTTAACTTCTAATAAATTACATTTTTTTCTTTTGCTCCGTTATTCTCAACTGTTCATTATTTTTTTTTTTAACTAATATTCACCCAATACAATCCCCAAGAACCACTCAAGACAAAAAATTAAGTCTTTATAGTTATTGGTATTTGCATGGCAAATTCATACTGCCTTAATGTACAATAATGTCTAACTCGTTAGAAATTATTTTTTTAATCATTTCATCCCAAGTAAGACGATAAAGCCACGAAGACGCAACGGGTTATTTGAAGACTAGATTTAACCGGAAAGCAAGAAGCTGGAATAGGGTTCAATAGGCGAGAAGCGTGAGTGAAGAAAATATTAACAAAGAACTTATGGTCATATCTAGCTATTTGCAATTGTAAAATGATGAGACCAAGCTGCCAGCACAGCGGTGCTTTCAAATTCATGAAGTCAAGGTATGAAAGAGGAAAGCCCATTAAAACAATTGGCATGAAAATATATGCATATACGCAGATATATGCAGGTATATATATATATATATATATATATATATATATATATATATATATATATATATATATATATATATATATATGTGTGTGTGTGTGTGTGTGTGTGTGTGTGTGTGTGTGACAGAAATAAAAGTGTAAAACTTAATATTACTAGACATATTGAGAAAAAAACAGGCAGAAGCAACCGGTTTCGCTCCCGCTCTTCAGGCTTCAACGGGAGATTTAATTTAAATTAAAACACAGAAAATGTACGATAATCGATTTATTATATAAATAAATTAAAAACATTATAGTTAAATTAAAAACATTAGTTCTGTTTCATCTTAAAGCGAATACCAACAATCGCTTGAAGATGAAACATAATATCTTTTAATTTAATTATATAATTAAATTTGAAAGGTTTTAGCTTGGGTTTTGGAAACATGGTTATTCCTGTGTAGAAGAAACCATATTTTAAATCAGTAAATTCATAATACACACACACACACACATATATATATATATATATATATATATATATATATATATATATATATATATATATATATTGGTATAAAATGACAAATGGAAAAAATAATCTTAGATTTTGCCGACGCGTTTCGTCTTCCGACTTTTCAAAGGCAAAAATGAAATCGAAAAATTTTTGTTGTTATAGTTACATTAAAAATCCAAATTTAAAAGATAGACCCTTCTGTCTAAGTCTTTTTCTGGTTAATGTAAATTACCTTTATAGTAAGGATTTTTTTTTTCCATGTCGACAATATAGTTAAATTGATCTGGGATATTTATATATATATATATATATATATATATATATATATATATATATATACAAAATCTTCGGAACTCCCAAACAGGATACCTATACAGAAATTTAAAAATACATAAAACTAGATACCCACCACGGCCCATCATTTCCCATATCTGAATTCGTATCTACGAGCTATCAAAATTTCTTAACGATATCAATACTTCATATCTACCTACCAATTCCAGCATCACATTGACCATGAATTCTTTGATATTCTAAAACTATATAACCAACCCAAATCATTTTTAGTGTCATTCGACGTTTAAAATTTATTTACAAATGTCCTCGTCGATCAAACTATCGACATAATCCTTAACTCCGTATATATAAATAATTCCATTCCACTTCCATCCAACACGCCACATATACACAAAAAATTATTGCATGCCTGTACAACGAAAGTCTCTTTCTACGACAATAATTGCAATATCTACACCCAAACTTATGGTGTTGGTATGGGAAATCCTCTCGGTCCGGGTTTCTCCAGCTACTACATGTCCCACGTAGACAACACGATATTTCAACAAAACCCCAAATATATGTCCATTATAAAGACGATATTTTAAGTTTAGCAAAAAATAAACAAGAAAGTGATAATTTCAAAACCACATACGAAAAATCTGCCCTTCATTTTAACTATGAATTGAGTCAAAAAACTTACATCTTGAAAGTTCTCATAGAATTCAGTAATACTGTAATTACCATTTCATCATATAAAAAAATTAGCAGAAACACTTGCTGCCTTAATTTTAAGAGTGATTTCTAGATTAGATATAAAATAGCAGATATAAAAAAAATTTCCTACGAGATCACACTAGAATTCATCTTTTCGTCTACTTTTCCTTAAAGAACTCAATAATGTAAAAAAGACGCTAGTTAACAATGGTTTTCCTAAGTACCTCATCGACCACCAGATTAGACTATTTCTTTCGAATGTTACTAACAGCAACACAGAACATACAGATAAAAACAATATCCTTAACATCTGTCAATGCCAAATACATGTTAACTCTAAGCAAGACGAATTTTTTCTTAGAAATATCATAAAGAAATACACAAACTAGTCGACTTGAACAATAAAATTAAATTTTAAAAAAAATAAATTAAAACAGCTAACCTTATCATCAAAAATAACAACTCAACCACAAAAACAAAACTGCAAAGAACCAACATTATTTACGAGTTCAAATACCCCTTAATGATCAAACCAAACTGTTATATAGAAATAAATTGTCGCTGCCAACACTTGAGTTTGAACATAGATCGCCAGTGAGCAAAGACAGCCGATCACATTATTGAATTAAGATCACGTGACCATAGAGGAAACGCATATATGGGGATTAGCGTAACGTCTAATTAATCACGATTTCTATTCTATCCTCTATTACTCTATGGATCATTCTTTCTACTGTACCCTTTATTACTATACGGGTCACTATACTATTCACTATTCCTACACTATTTCTCTATACTGATCACTGTACGAATTATTATTCAGTGGTTACTTCCGAGCGAGTATTATCGAGCAAGCACTATTAGTGCGACTGTTATTCGAAGGCGTCTAACACCAGTATTGTTCAACGGCGTTACTATAGTTGTATCTGCGATTGCAAAATCTCTACAACAACGAGCATTATGAAAGTGACAACGAGTATTCATTGACATCACAAAAGTGGCAACGAGTCTTCGTCACGAAACAAACCCATAAATAATTATATTGACCATACTACGATATGCCTATCTAGACAACTTACGTTATTCGTACCTGACCATTAATCCATTAGGACTTATCTAAACACATACAAAACCTACCAGACTCCATCCGAAACATACTAGTAGAAAATACTAGAATAATGGCCTCATCCACATGTAAAAAAGATTTACAAAAATGGAAGCCCTAATAATAAAAAAGGAAAAGCCATCACTCAATAAGATTAACTGTGAACATTGCCACAATATACTGACCGTATATATATATATATATATATATATATATATATATATATATATATATATGTGTGTGTGTGTGTGTGTGTGTGTGTGTGTGTGTGTGTGTGTGTGTGTAATTTGTTATCATGAGAGTAAAGTTCTCAATGTCGAAGATGGGGCATTTGTAGATGTAATTGGAGTGAATATAGAAATCAGTACTGAGTGGTGACTATCAGAGAAATGTTAAATGACCTTAGACATATCTTTCAACGTCCTCTGATATACACAAATACATTGTACTTTATTGCATTATGCAAGTTACTGTCGCCGCTTCAGTTTATTATACAAATTAAAACAGCCTTCAGTTACGTGCCATGTGTGATACACGCTGAGGCGATCAAGTATCTTTCGATACATGACAGACGAGGCAGATTTTTTTTTTTCCCGCAGTAGGTTGACATTTCTTTCTGCGATACACCAGTTGCCATCCAAGGATATAGAACCCAGACTGTCTTGCTATTTACCCATAGCCGGGGCGGGGGGGAGGATTCATACTTTTCCCAAGGGTCAGTCAGTCAGTTATGTGCCATGCGTGATATACGCTTAGGCGATCATGTATCTTTCGATATGTAACAGATGAGGCATTTTTTTTCCGCAGTAGGTTGCCATTTCTTTCTGTGGTAGATCAGTTGTCATCCAAGGATATAGAACCCGGTCTATACTGCTATTTACCCATAAAGGGCAGGGGGTGGGAGACGATTCATACTTTTCTCAAGTGTCAGTCAGTCAGTTGTGTGTCATGCGTGATATACGCTGAGGCGATCATGTATTTTTCGATACATGAGAGACGAGGCCATCTTTTTTTCCGCAGTAGATTGCCATTTTTTTCTGTGGTAGACCAGTTGCCACCAAAGCTATAGAACTCGGTCTATCCTGCTATTTACCCATAGCTGGTGGGGGGTTAGAAGAGGATTCATGCCTTTTCCAAGGATATTAGCATTTAAGTGAATGGAATGGATTCGAACAAAAAATTAAAATCTCTATAATGATAACATAGGTTTATTGTATTACATTCATTCCTGATAACTGATTATTCTTCTCTTCGTAATTTTTGGCATTAAAATTATGCATAATTCAAGTTCAGTGGCCATTGTTCTTATTATAGAAATTAATTGAAAATCAGGAAAAAAAAGAAGTTTTTTCAGTGACCAGTTACAAACACATTTGTTAATGACGCAAGAAAACTTTTATCGGTTATAAGATTGCTAATGTATGAAAAATGACGAGAAAAAAAAAAAGAAGCATTGTCGGTGTTCAGGAATTAAGTTATATGTTCAGAACTGTGTATTTGGATGGATAATTATCCGTATCGTGAGTTATCGTGAATTTTGTATGTTTAATCGAGTTATCTCCCCCTGCTGTACGCACGTTCCCAGCATTTAAACGTTTTCAAACGAGCAGACGATGTCACAGAAATTGTGGGAAATTCTCTAGAAATAGCTTATTATTGTTTCCGATTTTTCTAACTCAGAAGAAAAATGGTCCTTTCCCTAGGGCAAAAATGACCCGAAAAAAAAAAAAAAAAAAAAAAAAACTATCAGCAAGCGTCAACTGTTTTATAGTGTTTCCTTTCTATTTTTTTTTTTTCTTACTATATATCGAGAGCGGAAATCTTACTTTGCCTTGCAGGGATTTGTTGACGATTATCGAAATAAGAAGTAGAAAAAAAAAGACAAAAAAAGACAAATGAAAGTCCATCCCGACTTCATTTAAAGTCACGATAAATATTCCCAAACTGAATAATGTCTGTGTGAAGTGAGAGATTTTTTTTCTAATAGCGATCTAAATTTTTCGGTTAAAAGGTGGGAGGGAAAACGTCCAAAGAAGGAAATTTAAAAAAAAAAAAAAAACCCTAATAAAACGGGATTCAATAAAAAAAAAAAATAAGGATATGCAAATAAACAATGCAGTTTGATAATTGAAGACAAGAAAGAAAGAAAGAAAGAAACACACAATCATAGAAACAAAAAAATTGTATAAAGAAAGGAAGTAGCTGCGTAAAGAAAGAACGAAGAAAGAATGGTGGTGTAAATAAATAAGAAGCTAGCGTGTACAGAAAGAAACAAAGAAGGAAGTGTGAAGAATGAAATATGGAAAGAAAGAAAGAAAAACGAAAGAAACTAGATGCGGAAAGAAAGAAAAAAACATTATTGAAAATGAAAAATACATAAAGAAAAAAGAAAGAAAGGAGTTACTGTGTACAGAGAAGAAGGAAAGGAAAGAAATTATGCGTAAAAAAAGAAAGAAACGCCCTTGTAAATAAATAAATTAATAAAGAAAGAACTAATCTAAGTGTTTGAAAACAGATATATCGAAAGTAGAAAGAAAGAACTCATGTGAACAAAAAAAGAAAAGTAAGCAAAAGTAGATATGGAAAGAAGGAAAGACATGCTATTGTAAATAAATAAATGAAGAAAGAAAGAAAGAAAGAAAGAATGAAAGAAAGAAAGCAAAAGGATGTGGGGAAAAAAGAAAAGAAAAAAGAAAGAAATAATCTAATGGTGGGAAGATAGCCATATCGAATGTAGAAAGAAGAAAATAGTGTGAAAAAAAGAAAGAAACTAGATTTTGAATGAAAGAAAGAAAGAAAGAAAGAAAGAAGAAGAAATATAAACTGATAGAAGGAAGAAAGAAACAAGAAAATGAAGCAAATGATGGAGTGTTGTAGAGTGCGAGAAATGAATAAATAAATAAATAAATAAAGTAGAAGAAGAAGAAGAAGAAGAAGAAGAAGAAGAAGAAGAAAAAGAAGAAATATAAACTGAAAGAAAGGAGAAAGAAAGAAAGAAGAAAATGAAGCAAACGATGGAGTGTTGTAGAGTGCGAGAAAGGAAAAAAATAATAAATAAAGAAAGAAAGAAAAAAGAAAAAAAGAAAGAAAGAAAGAAAGATTGAAAACAAAGGGAGGATTAATAGTCAGTTGGTAAAGATGCAGGGTGGATTTAAAATTGCATAAATTCGAAAGAGAAAACTTAAGACAGGCGGTATGTCGACTCAAAATGGCGAGATGATGACAGAAAATTGGAGGGAAAAAGAAGCGGAATAATTTAAGAGTGAAAATGTAAACAAAAGCGTTAATAATGTATTAAAATTTCTCAGCGATACGGCAAATAATGTAATTTTTAAAGAGTAGACGCTAAAACTTCGAAGAAAACGGTACTAGGCCAAATTATGGCTCATGTGGCTGTGTGTTTGCATGATGGAAATATTTGGGCGAGAGTCCACTCTCTCCAGTCTTGCTTGAGTCCAAACGCCTATCAGGATCCTTGTGTGTGACAAATTATTTTCCTCCCTCTCTCTTACCTCTCTCTCTCTCTCTCTCTCTCTCTCTCTCTCTCTCTCTCTCTCTCTCTCTCTCTCTCGAGGCTAGTTGTGAAAATCCTTTCGGTGCTTTATTGCTACTTCCATGGCAAATGTTTAGACATACTGCATTCCTCCTTTCCTCAAGTTCTAACCGTCATGGCTAGGGGCCACCATGCCACTCTCATTGTAGCAATGCGTCTAAATTCCCTTCAAGCTCCATCGTAAGTATCCAACTCATCCTGCTATCATCTGCCTTTACAAGAACCAGGTTAGGCACAAAATGGAGTACTATTGTTATATTTCAGCGGGAGATTCCCAGACCTCAAAGCGTCCTTGTGGGTGATGAATTATTCTCTAGCCTCCAACTTCTCTCGCACATGGCAAGATGTAGCAAGCTTCTCACGACTCTATCACTACTTTCACAGAAAGTGCTCGAATGTACTACATTCCCTGGTCCGGTCCCGCCATTTTAAACCTTCACGTTGAGGACATGCCTTGCTACTTACACAGTAGCAAACCAATAACATTCCCTCTGTATTCCATTAATCCAGCTTTTTCCCGTGACCCATTGCTCTGTGGAACAGACGTTCAAGAGGATGTTTCTCCGATCACTACAATCTTAACCTGTTCAAGGACAGGGTTAACTATTATCTCCCATTCCTATATCTACAAATTGGCTCCCTAATGTAAAACTCTTGATGGTCAGAGATTGTTGACTCATCTCTCTTCCGAACTTGCACAAACTATGCAATGGGTTAAAACTGGCTGGTTACATTCAATGCCTCGAAGACCAAGTAAGTTACATTTTATTGTTGCCGATTGGGCCTCAAACTACAACCAATCAGGATGAACAAATGTCCCCTCAGGGAAGCATCGTGCTTTGAAAGACTATTAGGCCTCAAACTCACACCCGACCTAAAGTGGAACTCGTACATACGATCTATTGCTAAGGGTGCAGGTAAAATGTTGGCTCTTTTTACTGCTTCAGTAAATACCTGACTCCTCTTGCTATACCCTACCTTTACAAGAGCCAGATTAGGCCAAAAATATCATACCGTTGTTATATTTAGTCGAGAGCTGCCCAGACGTCACTCTGCAGTCCCAAAACATCTCCAAGTCCTTGTGGGTGATGAATTTTTCTCCACCCTTCAAGTTCTTTCTCACATGGTGAGATGTAGTAAGCTTCTCACAACTCTATCACTACTTCGACAGAAAGTGCTTGGATGATCTACATTTCCTGGTCCCACCAATTCAAGCCTTCATGCCATGCCACTTAATTAGTGACAAACCACCAACATTCTCTCTGTATACCATTGATGAGATGCACTCTAACAGCATCTTCCTGTAACTCATTGCTCTTTAAATCAATTAATTTATAATATTTCTTCATATATATATATATATATATATATATAAATTTGTTTTTCCCTAATTCTTAGGGCTATGGACTGTTTATAACGCAATGATTACAAATTCGACCCTCATTTAAGAAATATATATTGTTGTTTTTTTTTTCCTGGGGTACGTTTGCCTATTTTTTAATTTTTTATTTTTTTCTTACAATAAGGTTCACCTTGTACAAGTCCCGGGAGCCACTCGAGGTAGAAGGTTGCATTAAGAGGCAGTTTAAGCGGATAGGAGAGGAATATAACGGTTAATTAGAATTGAACAGCTTAAGGGTGTAGTGATCCGGGAAACATCTTCTTGGGAGTTGTTTTTCCCAGGTCAGTGGTTCGCGGGAAGAAACTGCTCGAGTGAAACTTACTTCTCACCGATGGAATACGGGGTGGGGGGTGATCGTGAGAAGCTTGCTACAGTTTGGCATGTGGGAGAGAAGTTGGAGGTTGGAGAATAATTTGACGCCCACAAGGACTCGGAGATTCTTTTGGACTCTATCAAGGCTGGAGAGTAATGCCTAGGATGCTGCCGCCCAAATCTGACGAGAGTGCTCCATTTTGGGCCTAATCTGGCTCTTGTAAAGCTATATATATATATGAAGAAATATTATAAATTAATTGATTTAAAGTATGTTTTTTTACGCTACACAGTTCTAACCATGTTTTCATTTAATCTTCAAGCGAATTCGCTTGAGGATGAAATGGAACTAATGTCTTTGTTTTATTTAAAAACTTAAATTCGGAGCTTTTAGCTTACATTTTTGAAACATAGTTAGAACTGTGTAGCGTTAAAACATATTTTAAATCAATTAATTTATAATATTAATGCTCTGTAAATTTACATTGAGCAATATTTTGTAAAAATAAAAATATCTATAAGAACACCGGATTATATATCATACAGTTCTTTCTTTTTATTTATATATACATATATATGAAGAAATATAGTCTTAAGATGTGCTATATTTATGGGATAAAGTGCTCAATATAAAGAGATAGATCGTGGCCTGACGATTGCATCTAGCATGAAACAGACTGTCACCTCTAAGTGTTGACTTCTATGTTCCTTTATATATATATATATATATATATATATATATATATATATATATATATATTTGTTTGAATAAAAACAGACCACTTTAAGGTTCCATGTAATAAATTATTACACCACAGTTCTTTTAAAGGGCTCTGGATCATCAGACTTTACTTCCAAATGTTGAAATGAAAAAAAATAAAAACAGACCACTTTAAGGTTCCATGCAATAAATTAAATAATAATAAAATAATAATTTATTACATGGGACCTTAAAGTGATCTGTTATTTATTCAAACATATTTGGTCTGAATTTACATTGAGCTCTCGGATATCATCCTCCTTGGGTCTACCCATACGGATTACCTAGTTTTGCATAAACTATATATATATATATATATATATATATATATATATATATATATATATATATATATATAGCGAGGTTGGTTGGCATTTTAGCTTTTTCTTAAATATCTTAGCTGTACATATTTGATTTTGAATTTTGTATTTAGCACTTTTTTGTTGTCTGTGTCTTTTAGGCTTCATTTTTAGTTTCACGGTAAAATATTTATAGAAAAGACAGAGGGAAGCCACGTCATGTCGGTGAGAAAGTGACTGGAGTCGAGATGCCCGGTCAGGATCGATTACATTACAGATCCTTCTTTGGATTTTGGCAAGAATCTCGAGATGTTGAGCAGAAGCACCAGACCAGATATAGCAACAGTATTCAATGGAGAGACAGATGGTAAATTTGTAAATGTGAAAGATCAATTCTGACAAGAAAAAAACTTTTGGCACGAGACAGTGACCCAATTTTTCTTGCAGTAGATGCAGCAATTGAAATGATGTAGCTGTTCCATTTCAAGTCAATGGAAAACGTGAAGCCAAGAAGGCTCAGTGTGTTGCTCTCCCGAAGACAGGTAGAAAAGTTTCTTTATGGTGATTAAATGAAAGCAATTTTGTTTTGGAGGTGTTAAAATTTAAAAGCCATTTCTTGTCCCAGTTAACCACTGATTGGAGGTTCTTTTCAAGAACAGGTGTCAAGTTTACTTTGTTAAATCTGTCGGATGTGCTACTGAGACTGAAGCCAGTGGTTGTATCAGCTGCATAAATGCCTTCTTGCAAACTAATGCTTGATTGTTTTTTGTTTTTTTTTATATTAACTGTGAGGAGAAAAAAAGGTGAGGCAAAATACTTCGATGAATTACATTAAATGTCGAAGAACTACATGTGGCTCTGGAAAGGTTGCTACTGTGGCTTGTATTCTACAAGCCAGAAATATCTCTATCTATAAAAGGCAGGATATGTGTGTGTGTGCGTGTGTGTGTGTAACGAATCCACGGTCGCAATTTTCGACGGATTTGCACCAAAATTTACATGCACATGCTCCAAGCTAGCGGAAAATTCAAGACCGACTTTGAATTTCCCATCTCCCATCGATGGTGGAAATAATCGATTTTTTCATGCTTCTGTGGCAGTTTTCATGTAGTTTGCGGCCATTTTGTATTGCCCAGAGTGAGAGCCTATAGCTGGCTGCCACGAATAGGCAGGAAGATTATATTGGACAGCGGGAGAGCCAACAGCTGACTGACACAAATGTTAACTAGCATGCTAGCATGCAAAAAAATAGATATCTGCATTCGTCACAAGTGGGAAAAATTTAAATCTGCATGGCACTTTACTCCAATTGGATCATTCGCTTGCTTAAACTCAACGTTGATTCTGATTCCGCAGAACTGGGTTGGGTGTGAGAAGGTATTTGTTGTTAACATTCTTTTTTCATTCGGTTTTTCCAGTTACGAGTCCTTTTTTAAAGCTGATCGTTTTGTGTTCATTTTGTTTAGTTCTTTTTTCGTAACAGATTTAATGTTTAGTATAGAGCTTAGAAAAAAATCGCAGTGTGAGATACGCAAGAAGTAAGGCATGTAGCAATATCAGCACGGAAAAGGGCACTCGTTTAAAGGCAAGGAAGGGCAAAAATACTTTAAGCCAAGTGATAGCGATTGCTGTATGAGTCGTACGATTTTCGAATCAAGCACAGGCAACGCCGGGCCATGCTGCTAGTCTACAATGTACAGATTTGGACACAGTATTTGATGCACGGATGAATGGTTAGATTTATAAAAGTGCAAGATGGATTCTGACAAGAAAAATATTCTGGCTAGACAGAGTGAACCAACTTTCCTACCTTAGCAATTGATTCGATATTGTCGTTCTAAATTATGTCATTGGAAAATTGTGATCACAATAAGGCGGAGTCTGTTGTTTCTTCTGGAGTAGCATCAGCTATACTAGTGTCATGTCGAAAAGGTTCTCTAGGGTGATTAAATGAAAACAGTATTGTTTTGGACGCGTTAAAATTTATAAGCCATCTCTTGCCGCAGTTAACATCTGATTGGAAATCCTTTTCGAGAGCAGTTATGTTTACTTCGTCGGGTCTGTTGGGTTTACTGCTTAAACGGGAGTAATTGGATGTTTCATCAGTATATATACCGAGTTGGAAACTGATGACATCAGAGAGGTTGGTGATGAAAATCAGAAACAGTGTAGGTCCAAGAGTAGAGCCCTGGGAGATCGACGGGTTAGGATGAAATGATCTGGAAGAGTGGCCGTTCAAAATGTTTTTTATCACACAATTTACCAGAAAGGATTGGTAGGTATGTCATGAAATCGTTTACGTATATAATAAGTAAGGAAACTATAATCAGTTAGAATAAGTTTTACGGTATATGCCTCGTGGCATACTGTGTATTCAGGACGATGTTCATGTTTTCGGAGAAATCAGCAGGTGATATAGGAGTGTCTTATTCTGGCATTTGATTGGCCGACTTTTTCTTTCTGTGATTGTCTGAACTGAAGATGCCATTCTATTAGAATTGGTTTAATTTTGTAAAGTCTGTTGATTGCGTGCCAGTTTCATAACTGCTGCCACTTGTTAAGAATGAATGAGTTTTTGATTGCTTTGGAATCAATATAAAATCTATTAAATATTTTTAGGCATTCCTTTCTGCCACGTCAAGTTTTTCCATTTACTCAGATGTCGATGTCATGTTAACCAATACGCCTGGCAGATGAGATTAACCTGGTTAACAATTAAACGATTAACGGACTGTTTAAATTTTTTTTCTCAATGATTTAAGTGTAAATAGTGAATCTGAGAAAACTATTCAGTCGTCCTGTGCATTTTCTGTTATCAATATATATAAAACAGAGGATGTCTTTGTGTTCGTCTGTCTGTCTGTGCGATACCTTTTTCACTGGAGATCCATCCAAACGATTTTAACCAAATTTAGCATAAGTTCAACTTTTTTCCTCCGATTTGGTTCAAACTCGGTATGGAGGTTACTTACATCATGACGAGCTCAACGATACCTCATTTTTATTTCCACGCTACAGCGATTAGTGAAAAACCGCGAAAAACAAAAAATCGATTTCAACACAAATTTTAAAGCAATCTAATACAAACTTCACTCAACTGTAGCCAACAATAAGTTGATTGTTTAACAGTCATTTAATTTGATAATTGAGTCCGCCCATATAGTAAAAATCCGCGTAAATAGCGAAAAATGTCTATTTTATTGGTTTCTTCCTTATTTTTCGTTGATCATTTTCATCAAACTTAACAATTGCTTTATGAATGTATCCTCTTTTACATCCCTGATAGCACACTGACGAATCGAATTTAAAAAAAAAAACTCCAAAATAATTATTGTCTGAAGTGGGTTTTCATGTTGCCTGTTTTACCTCTTCATGTCCTCAGCTAACTTCGATTGAATAAATACAGATTACTTTTTGTTATATCACTAACGCTATTAATTCAAAATGTTTTTTTTAATGAAAGTACTTTAAATTAATAGAAGATAGACTCTGTTACATTTAAGCATGATGCTGTTTTTGCTCCATTCTAATTGAAGGCTTTTTTGATCGACCAGCTGGGTAGTGCCAGTGATGCATAAATCTAAGTCTATGGTTATAGGTTCAGCAATAAAAAAAGAAAGGATCTGTCAGGTAGGTGTTATTTTTATTGTTATTTCTCCAAGAACGCCTGAATATGCGACTTTATCAATGTTTCTTGTGATTATTGTTTGGAAGCTCCTGTAAAATATTATGAATTTGTTCTAAAAAGATAGATAGGCTGGTATGAGTTCTAGCGGGTTTGGCAAGATTTAGTAAAACTGTTGGGCTGTTGGTGTTCCAGAGTGTTAAATTCAAGGTATACTGGGTGGAGTCTGTTCGTGATTCCATAATAATGCTTTCGATGTAAAGGCCTCGGAGTTTCCTGGCTGGGTTTGTTTTATTTTTAGTTGAATAGTGTTATGGTGAAACACACCTATTCTATAATAAAAGTAGAACTAGTAAAAGAAACGAGGGTCAGTCGATGTCGGACGACCGGCTGATCGGTTGAACTCTCTGCCTTCGGGCTTGGAGGAACCCGAACGAGGCTATGCCGAAGGGCAGAGTCTCGTTCAGGGAGGTAAACCCCGACCCTGAACCCGTTTATACGGGTTCAAAGGGTATATTTTTGGTCGAGCCCACGGGCCCCGAGATCCCACGTTAAACTGGCCTTGTGCCACATGATACCCTTCTGGGGGGGTGACTAAATACTAGTCGATGTCGGACGACAGTCGAACTCTCCGCCTTCGGGCAGAGAGGAACCCGGACGATTTTCGTACGGGGAGGTAGACAGACCCGATCCCGTTTATGCGCGGTCTAGGGGGATTTTTTGGCCGAGCCTACAGGCTCCAGAACCCCACATTAAATTCGGCCTTGTGCCACATGTGACTGCATGGGGCAGTTACTAAATAGCTTCGATGTCGGACGACAGTAGTCGACAGTTAGTCGAATACGAAAGTAGTCAGCGACCACAACAAGATTACCTATTATATCAAGTTCCTAACGTTTTGTACGTCGAACCTATTTTAGGACCGACTTAGTACAAATACAAGCCTCCACTGCGAAATAACTCCAACACAAATAGATAATTAAGATTATGTTTGGGAGTCACAGTGCATCGGCATAGTAATCCTCTCTCCTTTCTTCCATCTGGTGGCGGCGCCGGAGATGGCTGTGAAGGACTAGCTTACTCTAGATGAGTACTTAAAGAGAGTAAGATGAGGCCATTAGAGTGAATCATTTCTGGCAAAACGCCAAATGATAAGCAAAAAAAAAACAAAAAAACTTGTATACTATTTACATTATTCGGTCTACTGTCCTCATCTTTGTTGCTAATCTATCACAACGTTTCGGCCGTTGTACGCTCCGGCCTTCTTCATGTGGTTGGAATGTCAAACTGAAGCCTTTAATTCGCTCACTGGAGTAGACTGTTCTAGTTCCACGTGCCATGTTTGATGGATGTCAATTATCAGTTATCTCCTGTTAATTTACCTCTGAAAATTCTACACTGCCTTAAACGGGGATCGAACTCACACTCAAGGACACATGCCGCAGTGGACAAAGGCGCTAGTTAGATAACTGATAAGTGAACAGTCTACCCGAAATGTTGTAATAAATATGGTGACAATGATGAGGACAGTAGTCCGAATAATGTAAATAGTGTACATAATACCTCATCCCAGAAATATAGACAGATACTGAAAGGCCGAAACGTTGTAATAAATATGGCGACAAAGATGAGGACAATAGTCTGCATAATGTAAATAGTGTACATAATACCTCATCTCAGAAATATAGACAGATACTGAAAGGTCGTAACGTTGTAATAAATATGACGACAAAGATGACGACAATAGTTCGAATAATGTAAATAGTGTACATAATACCTCATCTCAGAAATATAGACAGATACTAAAGAAAATCTTGATCTCATTCATGAAGTCTTTTGCCGAAGAATCCATTCGGTCTTCAAGACTATTGCAGTTAGGAAGAGAATCTTACGTAGTATATTTTACGACTGGTTGGACTGATGAATATATTTATATTGTTACTAAAACATTTCGGTCCATCCATTCTCCAAACTTCAAGTTCACAATCTATAAAGAAAGATATGGATTTTTTATCTGTAGAAAAAGATGAAGATGAAAAAAAGGCGTTAAAGTAGCTCGTCGGGAATCAACTTTCGAAATCCTAGGTAGAATGTCAATCCTTGTAAACTCTTGGAATTACATCACTATTTCAGTCTTGCAGAAGGCAACATTCTTTAATTACTTACAATTCTTGGAAGCTTTTGTATCTTGGTATTTCTCATATATTCTTTTAAAAAAACATTTCATTCGTTTTTTGTAATTTTTCTCTCTCATAACATATATCTTTCTTCTTTCATTTTTCTATTTTTCTTCTCATTTTTCTATCTTCTTTCATTTTTCTATATTTCTTCATTCATTTTTCTATCTTTCTTCTTTTCGTTTTTCTATCTTTCTTCTCATTTTTCTATCTTTCTTTCATTTTTCTGTCTTTCTTCTTTCATTTTTCTATCTTTCTTCTTCTCGTTTTTTCTATCTTTCTTCTCATTTTTCTATATTTCTTCTTTCATTTTTATATCTTTCTTTCATTTTTATATATTTCTTCTTTTTCATTTTATATCTTTTTTCTTTCATTTTCTATCCGCTTTTATTTTTTATATTTCTTCATTCATTTTTTTCTTTTTTCTCGTTTTTTCTATCTTTCTTCTCATTTTTCTATATTTCTTCTTTCATTTTTATATCTTTCTTTCATTTTTCTATATTTCTTCTTTCATTTTTATATCTTTTTTCTTTCATTTTTCTATCCGCTTTTATTTTTCTATATTTCTTCATTCATTTTTCTATCTTTCTTCTTCTCGTTTTTTCTATCTTTCTTCTCATTTTTCTATATTTCTTCTTTCATTTTTATATCTTTCTTTCATTTTCCTATATTTCTTCTTTCATTTTTCTATCTTTTTTCTTTCATTTTTCTATCCGCTTTTATTTTTCTATATTTCTTCTTTCATTTTTATATCTTTTTTTTTTTTTCTTCTTTTATTTTTCTGTCATCTTTCATTTTTTTTTTTTTTTTTCATTTTTCTATCTTTTATTTTTCTATATTTCTTCTTTCATTTTTATATCTTTCTTCTCATTTTTCTTTCTTCTTTTATTTTTCTGTCATCTTTCATTTTTCTATCTTTTTTCTTTCATTTTTCTATCCGCTTTTATTTTTCTATATTTCTTCTTTCATTTTTATATCCATTTTCATTTTTTTTCTTCTTTTATTTTTATCATCTTTCATTTTTTCATTTTTTCTTTCATTTTTCTATCGCTTTTATTTTTCTACATTTCATCTTTCATTTTATATTTTCTCATTTTTCTTTTTTCTTTTATTTTTCTGTCATCTTTCATTTTCTATCTTTTTTTCTTTTTCATTTTTCTATCCTTTTATTTCATTTCTTCTTTCATTTTTTATCTTTCTTCTCATTTTTCTTTTTTCTTTTATTTTTCTGTCATCTTTCATTTTTCTATCTTTTTTTCTTTCATTTTCTATTCTTTTATTTTCTATATTTCTTCTTTCATTTTTTTCTTTCTTCTCATTTTTTTTTTTTTCTTTTATTTTTCTGTCATCTTTCATTTTTCTATCTTTTTTTTTTTTCATTTTTCTATCTTTTATTTTTTACATTTTTCTTTTCATTTTATATCTTTCTTTCATTTTTCTTTTATTTTCATCTTTCATTTTTCTATCTTTTTTCTTTCATTTTTCTATCCGCTTTTATTTTTCTACATTTCTTCTTTCATTTTTATATCTTTCTTCTCATTTTTCTTTTTTCTTTTATTTTTCTGTCATCTTTCATTTTTCTATCTTTTTTCTTTCATTTTTCTATCCGCTTTTATTTTTCTACATTTCTTCTTTCATTTTTATATCTTTCTTCTCATTTTTCTTTTTCTTTTATTTTTCTGTCATCTTTCATTTTTTATCTTTTTCTTTCATTTTTTCTATTCTTTTATTTTTCTACATTTCTTCTTTCATTTTATATTTTCTTCTATTTTTTTTTTTCTTTTATTTTTCTGTCATCTTTCATTTTTTTCTTTTTTTTTTTCATTTTTCTATCCGCTTTTATTTTTCTACATTTCTTCTTTCATTTTATATCTTTCTTCTCATTTTTCTTTTTCTTTTATTTTCTGTCATCTTTCATTTTTCTATCTTTTTTCTTTCATTTTCTATCCTTTTTATTTTTCTATATTTCTTCTTTCATTTTTTATCTTTCTTCTCATTTTCTTTTTCTTTTATTTTTCTGTCATCTTTCATTTTTTCTATCTTTTTTTCTTTCATTTTTCTATCCGCTTTTATTTTTCTATATTTCTTCTTTCATTTTTATATCTTTCTTCTCATTTTTCTTTTTTCTTTTATTTTTCTGTCATCTTTCATTTTTCTATCTTTTTCTTTCATTTTTTTCCGCTTTTATTTTTCTACATTTCTTCTTTCATTTTTATATCTTTCTTCTCATTTTTTTTTTATTTTTTCTGTCATCTTTCATTTTTCTATCTTTTTCTTTCATTTTTCTATCCCTTTTATTTTTCATTTCTTTTTCATTTTTATATCTTTCTTCTCATTTTTCTTTTATTTTTCTGTCATCTTTCATTTTTCTATCTTCTCCATTTTCAATTCTTTTTGATGTTTCTTCATATTTTTAGCTGCTTTTCTTCTAATTTTTTTGTAAAAATCATCAGTCTTTATTTCGCCGTTTTCTTTCATTCATTCTTTCTTTTTCACCATTTTCAATGTAATGTTTTATTTCTCACGCTATTTACTCTTCTGTCTTTTTCGCTTTTTCATTTCTTTCTTTAACAATTTGTACGTTTCCTTTCATATCTTTCCTCTTATTTTCCAAATTTGTTTAATGGTTCTATTTGTTACTTGTTTTTCATTTCTTTTCTGTCATTTTTCGGAGTCTTTCTTTCTTTCTTTCTTTCTTTTTTCTTACATTCTTTCTTTCTTTCTTTCTTTCTTTCTTTCTTTCTTACATTCTTTCTTACATTATCTTTCTTTCTTTCTTACATTACTTTCTTTGTTTTTTCTTCTTTTCTTCTTTCGTTCTTTCTTTCTTTCTTTCTTTCTTTCTTTCTTTCACAGTTTTTATATTTATTCTCCTTTGTTTCTTTTTATTCTATAATTTTATTTGATATATAGTTTTTCTTCGTTTGTTGTTTTCTTTCTCTCTCTTTCTCTTTACTTTTTCTTCTTCATATGTCTTCTGTCTTCTTTCTTTCTTTTGACTGATCATTTATTTTCGCTTTCTTTTTTTCATTCATGTATTCAGTTTCCTTGTTTTGTTCAGGTATTCACCTATTCTTTGTTTATTTTTTTATTATTTTTCTTTATTTTATTGTAGTCTCCATTCATTTTTCTTTCATCTTTTCTTTAAAATTCTTTTTTTTTTGTTTCTTCTGTGTTCATTTCCTTCTTTTTCTCTAGAGTGTTTTTATTTATTTATTTTTCGTCTTCCTGGACGATACTAGGTCTGTTCTGTAAAGGTTTGACTTTTATTTTCCTTCCTTCCTTCCTTCCTTCCTTCCTTCCTTCCTTCCTTCCTTCCTTCCTTCCTTTATACAATCCAAAGCAAATCTTTTCAAACCCCTAATTAATTCGCTATCATTTTATCTTGGTTTTCTTTTCATTCGGCCATATTTTTTTTTTTTATCCCAAAAAGCCAACACACACAAACACACAACATATATATATATATATATATATATATATATATATATATATTAATTTGCCTCTCTATTACAGCTTCTTTTCATTTCCGACATTCACAATAAAAAACACTTTTGCCTCCCATCACAAAAAACCTCTCAAATCCCAACGCCAAACTGACCTGAACTTTTTCTCCCTGGCCACGTCTTTTTCCCTCAGACTCAAGAGGTCCGTCTAATATGTTCTTTTTGCGCAAACTCATTTTATCGTCCGGCTACGCGCTGTGATAAGTCCTCGTCAATATCCTTAGACGAAGCACTCCATCTTTGGGCCCCGATGCGTCAATTTCAATCTCTTATTTCGTTTTTTGGTTTGTCTAGGATTTGTTTTGTAACTTGTTGTTTTGTCTGATCTTATTGCATCTGGGATTACTTTTTTTTTCTCTTTCGTTTTGAAAGCAACGAAAGATTTCATCAAGCATTTCGGTCCTCAATGTCTTTTATGCTTCTTTTCTTTTACAAAGTGCAAAAAGAAGTTCTCAGTTTGTAGTTTTTTTACTCATCGATTCTTTCATTTTTTGGTATTGCATTGTTTACGAAGTCTTTATTTGTTTATTTATTTATTTTTTATTTATTCGTTTTTTATTTATTTTTTATGTATTTATTTGTTATTTAGTTATTTTTTATTTTTTTTTTTTTTACTTTTTATTCATTTATTTTTTGATTTATTTTTTTTTTCTTACCTTTTTATTTATTTTTTTTTTTCATTCAAATTTTTTTTTTTTTTTCTTTCTTTTCCCTTTTTTTTTTTACTTTTTTTTTTTTTTTTATTTTTTTTCGGTTTTTTTCTACTTTGTTCAAATTATTGTCTTTTTTGTATGACACATTTTTCTTTCTTTTCTTTTATTTCACTTTCTTTCCTTTTTTCTATTTTTTATTCTTTTCTTTCATCCTTTCTTTTTTTTTTCTTTTTTTCTCTCTTTTCTTTCGCTTTTGATGTTTTCTTTCTTTCTTTTGTTTAATGTTTGTTTCTTTTTTTTTTTCTTTTTTCTTTCCTTTCTTTATTTAATGTGTATTCCTTTTTTTTTTGTTTGACACTTTTTTTTTTTCCTTCTTTCTTTTTTCATTTTTTTTTTTCTTTCTTTTTTTTCTTTCTTTTTTTTTTTGTTTTCTTTCTTTCTTTCAATTCTTTCTTTCTTTTTTTTCTTCTTTTTTTCTCTTTTCTTTCGCTTTGATGTGTATTCCTTTCTTTCTTTTTTGTTTAATGTTTCTTTCTTTCAATTCTTTTCTTTTTTTTCTTCTTCTTTTCTTTCTTTTCTTTTGTGTTTCTTTCTTTCTTTTGTTTTGTTTCTTTCTTTTTAATGTTTATTCTTTCTTCTTTTCTTTCTTTTTTTTTCTTTCTTTTTAATGTTTCTTTCTTTCAATTTTTTCATTCTTTTCTTTTTTTCTTTTTTCGCTTTAATGTGTATTCCTTTCTTTCTTTTTGTTTAATGTTTCTTTCTTTCAATTCTTTCTTTCTTTTTTCATTCTTCTTTTTTCTTTCCTTTCTTTCCTT